AATAAAATCATAGCCAGTGCTGAGATGGCAATTAACCCAATGTATTCTGCTTTCTGCCATAAACCCTTAAACCAATTCCATCCCCACACATCATCAGCATTAACTTCCCTAGCTGTCAACCTTTTAATTGCATTAGTTATGTTTTGAATACCCACATCTATCACGTGGCCATCAGCATCATTATCAGGAATATACCTGATATTCCTGACATAATTTTCACTTGCCCAACTTGATTGTTCTGCTCGGTCTTTCAGTAAGGACACTTTATTTTTGATCTCTCTCTTGGCTCTTGTCAGACTATTTCTGGTGTTGTTGTGAAGTTATTCAGGTACCTTGACTACTAGCGCTCCTCCATACAGCTCCACCATGGCACACGTATCCATCCAATGCCTGGGTAGTGAAGCACGTATGGAATGCCATCTCTGCCATAATTAGAAATAAATAAAGAAATGTAAAATAGCAAATATAAATGGGGGGGGAGGCGGACAATTTGGTCAGTCGTACTTTTAAACACATTTTAGTTTTGCTATAGAAAATCTACAAATTCACAGGAAGCGCTGAGGTTGTCATGGCACCCAGATACACTGCACGCAAATTATGGCTGCTCTTCTATTTTGACACTAAACTTAGCAATGAACACGATGGAAGTAATACAAAATAAACATGTCTGTCAAAACGATCTCACGGGAGGCTTTTATTAAGCAAATTTATTAAGAGTGAATTACTCATCCACTGTTTAAAAAAATACTTTAGCTGGGTTTCCACAGACAGGGTCACAATTATCTACAGTGTATGAAGCTAAAGGTTTTTGGGTTAAGGTTCATAATGTAGAACATTTTTAACATTGTATGCTGTATGTGCATAGGTAGCTAGCAAACAAGGAATACAGCTGTTAAGCTAATAGTCACATTTAGCTGAGTAAGATCATGATTGAGAAATGTTGGATTCTGCTGGAAATGCTGGTGTTATGGGATATCTTATTTATTATTTTGGGATTTTTTTTTTGTTTGCCCCAGTGAAGCATTTCTATTAATATAACTGATTAAGTAGTCAAACTCATTCCATATCAGCAGAATAGTGTGGTACAGAAAGTCTATGTCCATAAAACTTGATGAATTATGTTTCTGATACCTAATGGTCAAAAGCAATAGCAAAAGTAATAGGTCAATATTATTAAATTGCAGACAAAGATTTTGAATAGCTAGGTTGGCTTGGACACTATATTGCCAAAAGTATTGGGACCCCCCGCCCCCTTCTAATGAACAGGTTTGACTACTTTAGTAATTTCCATGAGTACAAATCTTAATGTTTAAGCATATAATGATATTCTATGGAATTGTGTGCTTCTAATTTTATACCAATAGTTTGAACAGGACCCTTTTATATTCTAACACAAGAATGCCTCTGTGTAAATAGAAAAAATCAATAAATGTGGAAAAAAAATACATAAGGAAATAAAATTATAAATTATTTATTTTTGCTTTTTTACTTTTCTTTGCATATTTATTTATATATTTATTTATATTTGCTTTTTCACATTTCTTTGTACATTTCTTTATTTCTAATTATGGCAGAGATGGCATTCCATACACTTTTACACTCAGAGGCCTACCACAGTAGCTGCCCATGTGCCTGACAACGAAGCTATCAGTGTGCTGGAAGACTGGTATTGGCTGTATGGACATGTATATATGGAATGCCATCTCTGCTGTCTTCCAGCACACTGATACCTTCGTTGTCAGGCACATGGACAGCTATTGTGGTAGGCCTCTGTGTGTAAAAGTGATGTTAAGCAGACAGCTCACGCACATGTTTTTCGTTGCATCACTTGTCGAGTTGGTCGTGTAGATTTCGCTGCAGTGGTCGGATGGTATGTTTCCTAACAGCTCAAGTCCCTCGCTGTCATCCGTTGGCCTGTACTGACCTCAGATCACTCCCACACAGTGATGTTGCTGCGTTGTTCAGCTCCCATACACCACTGTATGTTTGTTCACCTCAGTCAGCCAGACGTCCCCTCTTGGCACGGGGCAGCTTGTCAATCACGTTACTGATCTGTGGCGCTCTCTGGTGACGCTGGAACCTTCCTGCAATGACTTGCATGCACCCACACAGCTCTCTCTGCCACTTTCACCACAGTGTGTTATCAGCAGGACCTGGAACGGGCTGTTCCACCTCTTAGATTACCAATGTTTCCTCCTCAAGTCCTTGATTACCACGAAATCACCAGGCCTGATGTCATGCAAGACTCCTTCAGCTGGCTTGGGCAGAGCATCCTTGACCTGCTGAGATATCTGAGAGAGAACAAGAGACAAATTTCGACAATAGTTTAGCATGTCATCTTCACACAAAGCTGTAGAGGGCAGTGGTCGTGGTTCTGGTCCTACTCCTATGGAAGTTGGCCTGCCAAACAGAATTTCAAACAGACTCAAGTTAGACTTGGTTCTTTTCCTCATTCTCATGTACATTAACACAATGGGGAGTGCTTTTACCCAAGACAAACCTGTCTGCTCACAACACTTCATTAATTTGTTCTTTAATGTCCCACCTTATTTGGAATCGGTAGTGCCGCTTGAGGCATCATTTGCCCTCTGCCCACATTACTTGTGGCGCAGATCATGCATGATTGGCAATACTTATCCGCAAAGGAAGTGAATCCTTTTGTGAACTAATATTGACTCAACAAATCAAACATTCCCTTTTTACACACATGATCTAGGCCATGTACAAGTTTTGCATAGTGTGGGAAAAAGTGTTTTGGTAGACATGGTTTGCCTTCAGTACTCAGCCAAAGATTGTTTTTCAGTTTGCACTCGGCCTTCACCCATTGTTTCTTCTCTGCTGTGGCAAAGGCTTGCATGGCTGTAAGAGAATCTGAGCCGCTGTATCCGCTCACTTGTTACCTAAAGACACAAAATCATCACTTTTGAAATGTGCAACGCATTTGCAGATAGCAATTGACTTTGGTAGCAAAATTGCTTCTAACAATGCTGTTATTTTATTATGGTTTAGAACAGGCTTACCATCAGACTTTAGACATTTCCTGTGTTTCCGCAATGCCCCAAAATCATGACAAACCCCAAAAGAGTAACAAGAATCTGTGTAAATTGTAACAGTTTGTCCTTCAGCAATTTTGCAAGCCTCCATCAATGCTACTAATTCAGCCTCTTGCGCAGAGCAGTGCGCGGGGAGCGCTCCAGATGTTATTATTGCATGTGCAGCGTAACCTGCTCTGTTTTTGCCAGTTTTTGGGTCTCTAGATGCTGAACCATCAACAAATAGAATCAAGTCAGCATTTTCAAAAGGGGTTTCTTTTAAATCTGGTCTTGGTGTACAGACCTGTTCCAATGTGGCAACACAGTTGTGTTCTTCCCCATCCTGCTCCGTCGAGAGCAGTGTAGCAGGATTTACCACTGTGCATCTTTTTATCGTGATGTTTGGCATTTCCAATAAAATTGCATTGTATCTGAGCCATCTGGCAGTTGTCAAATGGGATGTTTTCTGTTCCAACAGGATCATAGAAACAGCGTGCGGCACGAGCAAAGTCACATCAGGGTACCCCACAATTTCCCTTGAAGCTAAAATAGCTTTTTCTGCAGATGCAACAGCTCTCAGGCATTTTGGCAAGCCTGCCGCTGCCGTATCGAGCTTACTCGAAAAATAGGCCACAGGTCTCAGTTTTCCCCCGTGATTCTGTAACAGAACAGAAGTCATGAACCCATTTTTCTCATCAACAGTTTGTACAAAATTTCTCCCTGGGTCTGGAAGTCCCAGGGTTGGTGATGTTTGTAACAGTATTTTCAAATTCTCAACTGCTTTCTCTGCTTCTGGGGTCCATGTCAGTTTGTCATGTGGTTGCAAGCCCTTTCCGTGAGCCAAAGCGCTCAGGGGCGAATCTTCAATAGCATAATTTGGAATGAACGTTCGACAGTATGAACACATGCCCAAAAATGACATTAGTTGCTTTTTTGTGACAGGCTTTGGAATCTTTTGAATTGCCTCTTTTCGTTTCTCAGATAGAGATTTAACATTTTTAGTGATGACATGACCTAAAACTGTTTCACTTACTCGTGAAACTAATGGGTGGCTTGGACTTGCATCATAAAGTCTGGGAATATCAGATCTTAATTTGCTAAATGAAAACTCACTCTGAATCATAAATGAATTATTTTAGGTTTCAAGACAATTGGATTTTCAAAATCAGTCTCACCGTTTGCAGCACACGTTTTCTGATCTGTTGAGAAACCAGCAGTGAAGGTCCACGAGCCCTCAGACGTCAGTCCCCCTTCCCTGAAGCCTTTTCGGGGTTTAGGGCTAAACTTTTTGTGGGTTTAGGGTGATCAGCCAACTAACGTCCTCAGGTTCCGGACGATCGACTGTGGCATCCCGTCACTCGTCGCCAAGTTTGTCGTGGATATTCTAATTCAATAAAAAATTGTAGAGTCTAAGAATGAAAAACCAAACAGAGTTTTGTCTTTGTTTTGTTTTAATTCTCCACAGAGAATGATCTGGTTTACACACAGCTCGAGTCTGTGAGCAAAAAAGATAGCACAGACTCACAGCCTACTTTTTATACTATGCAAAAAGATACATTGAACAGTTATATGCCGTGTAATATGTACTTAAATGAGATTAATGCAATCAATACAAAATTAACAAAATTACAAATTTCCGTAACAGTCTCATTTACCAATAAGGATAAAAAAAATAATCCAAAGTCAGTGAAAAACATCTCATCAGTGCATTATTACAGTGAAACTGGTTGCAATCTGCTTTACTTTCATAATATGATGAAAATCAAAGTAAAATAAGATAAAAAAGTTCTCTTCAGAATGCAGTCAGTTTCCAATGCATTAGTCAAAATACAAAGTGAAAAAAGGCATTTCAGAGGTGGAGCAAGTTTTTAAATTTGGATGAAAAATCATGAAGATTTCTTTAGAATAACATGCACCACTGAAGTGTTCATTGTAGGAGCAGGAACAAGTATAAAGGAGATTCCATTTTAATTTCATGTTTCTCTTTATGCATCACTCACATTATGCATTTGTGCAAACGTGTGAATTGATATTCTGGCTCAGCCTATCAGACAGCAATGAAATAAATGTTAGGTCAAGTGCAAAATCCCGTAACTGTTTTATGACTAGTGACCCTTTTTCTAGATGAACCTTTTTCAGATGCGATTGGTCAGTGCTATACTGCAAGGTCGTCCGGTCTCATGCGGCTGCTGGTCACGCTGCTCTTGCTAAACCTTCGCTTGTCCGCAACAGATTCACTGCTTAGAAAAGAAGGCGAGGTGCATGAGTTGGGCGTCTCTGTCGGTGCATGCGAGAAGCTCAAGAAGTTGACCCCTAGGAAGTTTTGACCTCGATGGCGTTCGGTGACCATGTTCTCCGAGTTTTGCTGGTGCGCCAGTCGGTCATGAAAAGGTGGGCAGGTTGGGTGTATAAGTGAGTGTGCATGTGTCTGTATGGTAGGGGAAGATGGTGGTGATGCCAGGCACTGATTGAAGTCAGGAGGTGGAGTGCAAGCTCGGTTTGGTGTGAACAGGTTTGGTGAGACTGCAGCCACGGTGGATGGTGTATTCGGTCGCTGTTTGGAAGCCTTGTATCTTTGCAAACAACTCTTAAACTGCTTCCACGCCAAATGATACAGTTCCACGACGTTAAGCAACAGCGAGACAGCCGTGACCACTAGCATAAACACAATAAACACATTCTTCTCCGTAGGTCTCGAGATGTAGCAGTTGACCAGATGTGGACACGGTGAGGCCTTACACACGTAGAGCGTATTGAGGAAGACTCCATAGATCAGGTACTGGACTATAATGAAGATCACTTCCATTACAGAGCGGATGAGGATGCTTAGTACGTATGTTTGTAGCAAAGCACCCTTCAATTGCAACTTCCCACCTCCACCTTCATCCTCCTTCCCACAGTTCTTGTCTTCCTCTGGGTACTTTTTTCCATCTCTGTCTGTTTGCGCTCCTTCTTCCTGCTCTTTCCTCCTCTTCTCCTCTCTGCGGACACTGTGCATCGCGTGTGCCATGTAGATGAGAGAAGGTGTGGACACGAACACAATCTGGAGCACCCAGAAGCGGATATGCGCAATGGGAAAGGCTCGGTCATAACAAACGTTCTCACAGCCGGGCTGCTCCGTGTCGCAGGTGAAGTCTTCCTGCTCGTCACCCCACGAGGACTCAGCAGCTGTGCCCAGGACCAGGATCCGGAAGATGAAAAGAATGGTGAGCCAGACCTTTCCCACCGAAGTGGAATGTTCCTGGACTTCTTCTAGAAAGTTCCCAAGCAGACTCCAGTCAGCCATGACTAGTCAAAAGAGCCTGAAAAAAAACAGTAGTGTGAATGAAGGGAAAACTTATCCTTTACTAAATTACTTTCATGCTGCAACAGTTCATGTCTTCTGCTGTACATACTTGTGCTATAAATTTAGTATTATACTGAGGTGGCTAGGTGTAAACATGCCAACTTTAAAGGAATATTTAACCTAAAAATGAAAAAATTGATGTGCCCTCATGTCATTCCAAACCTGTGTTACTTTCTTTCTTCTGTGGAACATAAAGATATTTTGAGAAATGCTTGCTTTTTTGTCTGTAAAATGGAAGGCAATGGTAACCGAAACAGTTTTGTACCAACATTCTTCAAAATATTTTCGTTTGTGTACTGCAGAAGAAAGTAAGTCATACAGACTTAGGACAACATGAAAGAGAATAACCAGTGAATAAACATGTTTTCATTTTTGGGTAAACTAACTGAACTAACTTTCACTAGTTCTTTTCCATGACCTGAAATTGAAAAATTGCCATAGAAGTAGTTTACGCAAATGGCGCTGCCTCTATTGCTAATATGCTAACACAGCGCCAAAATTTGTGCTCTGACACTTTTTGAAACAACGTGTGAAATCAGACAGACACGGATAGAAGAGTTTGTGTTCATGTACTTGCATAGGTCTTTTCTCATTTGCATAGGCCTGAATACTGTTATTCATGAGAAAAGCATGTGCTGAAGAAGCTAAAATTATAAATGACTTAAAGGTGCTCTAAACCCCTTTTAAAAGATTTTTACAAAAAGAAACGAATAGTACTTTTGATAAAGTGTAACTAGTCATATGAGTTGCCTACAAAAGCAATTTAACATTATATTACGTTAAAGGGTTAGTTCACCCAAAAATTAAAATTCTGTCATTAATTATTCACCCTCATGTCGTTTCAAACCCATAAGACCTTCATTCATCTTCGGAACACAAATTAAGATATTTTTGATGGAATCTGAGAGCCGTCTGACCCTCCCATAGACAGCAATGCAACTGAAATGTTCCCAAGTCCAGAGACGTAGCGTTAGCAAGGACATCGGTAAAATAATCCATGTGACATCAGGGGTTCAACCGTCATTTTACGAAGCTATGAGAATACTTTTTGTGCGCAAAAGAAAGAAAAAAACGACTTCAACAATTCGTCTCCTCCACGTCACCCTATAGCGCCATTTTGGAGAATATCTGCTGGACGTAAACAACGTATGCTGTTGTGTCAACTGCGTCACACGAATACGCTGTTTTCGTTCAGATCAAATCACAACAACGTAGGAAACAGATCCAGCGTAACGCAGCAGACACAGGACAGCATACGTGGTTTACGTCCAGCTTATTCTCCAAAATGGCGCTACAGGGTGATGCGGAGGAGACGAATTGTTGAATAAAGTCGATTTTTTTTTCTTTTGCACACAAAAAGTATTCTCGTAGCTTCGTAAAATGACGGTTGAACCACTGATGTCACATGGATTATTTTACCCATCTCCTTGCTACGTCTCTGGACTTGGGAACATTTCAGTTGCTTTGCTGTCTATGCAGGGTCAGACAGCTCTCAGATTCCATCAAAAATATTAATTTATTATGAATTAATTTGTGTTCCGAAGATGAACGAAGGTCTTACGGGTTTGAAATGACATGAGGGTGAGCTTAATTCAACAATTCGTCTCCTCCACGTCACCCTATAGCGCCATTTTGGAGAATATCTGCTGGACGTAAACAACGTATGCTGTTGTGTCAACTGCGTCACACGAATACGCTGTTTTCGTTCAGATCAAATCACAACAACGTAGGAAACAGATCCGGCGTAACGCAGCAGACACAGGACAGCATACGTGGTTTACGTCCAGCTTATTCTCCAAAATGGCGCTACAGGGTGATGCGGAGGAGACGAATTGTTGAATAAAGTCGATTTTTTTTTCTTTTGCACACAAAAAGTATTCTCGTAGCTTCGTAAAATGACGGTTGAACCACTGATGTCACATGGATTATTTTACCCATCTCCTTGCTACGTCTCTGGACTTGGGAACATTTCAGTTGCTTTGCTGTCTATGCAGGGTCAGACAGCTCTCAGATTCCATCAAAAATATTAATTTATTATGAATTAATTTGTGTTCCGAAGATGAACGAAGGTCTTACGGGTTTGAAATGACATGAGGGTGAGTAATTAATGACAGAATTTTAATTTTTGGGTGAACTAACCTTTTAAGATGGTCCCATTTCATGGCGACCACCATGTTGGCATCACCATTCAAATTCTACTCACCAAATTAACTCTAACTGCTATAATACAGTTGCAAATATGGTGTTTAAACAATTGCATATTGCATACGTTGCATCCATGCACCAGTAGGTGTCAGTATGAAGTCTTCTTGACTCATGAAATTTCCCTAAAATTTCATACTAGTTTAATTAATTAATTAATTAATTAATGTACAATAATACAGTGCAGTACAATTTAGGAACATACTGAAAATGTAACTACATTTCAGTGTCTTGTGCATTGTGCCTGGACACCTTGAAGCAAAATTAACCTTCACAAGACTGTTACAATATACGACTCCTATGCTGCATTTAGAATAGCATACTACTCTTACTATTTTTGCCATACTAAGAAAAGGGAAAAATAATACTAGTAGTATGCAAGTATGCTATTTTGAACTCTGCCCTAGACAGTACTGCACTGCCTTCTCATGCTATTATAAAACAAGGACAACGATGTCAAACATGCAGTGATATATTTGGGTTGTGCTGTATACCGTATTTGGGTTGTGTCTGTGGGTGTAGATTTCTGTTCTTCGATACAAACTTTTCCCACACACTTAAGTGCTGGGAGTCTGGGAAAAGGAGACGGAAGAATTTGAGGAACCTGCAGCTAAAAATAAGCAAAGAAGCAGATATTTAGTGGCATTGGTCTTTTCTGGGTATTTGATGGCTGAACGTTTCCTGTTATCGTTTTAAAGCAACCATGAATATTTTCAGAAAGTAACATCTCCCTTCAGTGAAGTTAAGGAAGTATTTTGGCATATTAAATGACATTACATCTGTTTAAAACAGTACAGTACAACATGGTACTGCATTATATTTGAGTTTTTTTTTTTTTAAACTTTCTACACTCAACTGCTAAAGCTTGTCAAATTTAAATGTCATGGGAAATGTTCCATTGTCCTTTAGGGGCAGGGTGATGCTGGATAAACATCAAGTGTTTAATCTTTGACTTTTTGAATTTTGTTGGTACTTGTGTACCAGTTACACGGCGTAATGATGTTCTTTATTGGTTTCTCTTTTTCTCCCTCTGGATTAATACAAAGTTTAGCATCAGAGTCTCAGTCCCCAAGGGGGTTTATGGGAAGAGGGAGCCCAGAATACTCTCATCGCTTTAACATAAGAACTTGGGTAAGACTGTTTAAGGGACAGTTTGTCTGTGGGAAGTATTGAAAAATATTTGGATGTAAATTGAATTGCAGAAAGACACTGTGTAAACAGACCTTATTCGGATCCACCCTGCCAGACGTTTATCAGTCTGAACCTTGATGCCCCACCAACATTATTTTAAGAATACGTTTCAGCAAGGAGGGAGGTTTTCAGCCTTTATCAGCGTTCTTCTCTAAAGTTCACCACACAGAATAGGCTTATTGCTTTATGACTGATTTGATACGGTAATGACCAACTGACTGTTCATTATTCTTCACATAGTTCGAGTTTTATTTATATAATATTGTTTGCAACAATATTTATTATTATTTTCTATATTTATAATGTTGTGAACAAATTACTGAGAAGGGCAGTTTGGCATCAGATGTGGGAACCACGTCTTTAAAGACAGACTGAATGTGGCGGAGTCACTATATAAGTGTGTCTCGCTCCCCTCCCCTTTAAGGAAACAATTTTAAACAATATGATTTCCCTCTTACAAGGCACTTGAAAGAAATCTGACTGGGTTCAAGACACTGGGGCCAAAGAGGTTATTGGCACACTTAAAAGACTGTGCTGTGGATTCAGTCTCTTTATATTACTGCTGTTGTGTCACGGAATGTAGGTTTAAGAGTTTTTTAGGTGAGAATGTAGTAGTGTAGACTTCAAATATGCGGTTTCTTAATAAAGATGGCGACTGGGGGGTCAGCAGCCATTCAGCACTCATGACCTTTTTCCATGTTGAATAAGGCCATGTCACATAAATGGCCTAAAGCCGAATCACAACTATGCTGATAAATGAGCAATATTGCACAGCTACTCATATTGCTCATATGTTATATTGTTATGTTATAATGTGACAGTTCAGTGTCTTGTTTGTTAGCATGGGAAAGGTGCTATAAACACTTTAACCATGTGATCTGTATGTAATTTGCCTAATGAGTTAGTTGAGACTTAATGCGGGTGTAAAAAAACTGATTATTTATACATATCAGCCTAACTGAAGCTTATGCAAACCAGACATTTACCCTTGTTTTTTGCAGGGATCTTTTAGATCATGTGTCAGCAAACTGTACATCAACATTTTAACTGTAAGTGAACATATCTCAGCGCTATTTCTGTGTCAGTTACATTTTCAGGAGGAAGGTGGTGAGACCTACTCCCTTCTCCACTTGTTTACCCGAGGAAAGGAGAACAATGTGGGAGTTTTCTTTTTGCAGCAGGGGCATCTGGAGATAGATAGGGGCTGCTAAACAGCCGTACAAACAGCCATCAAAGAAGAGAACCATGCTCCTCCGGTCTCTGTTTGTCCTGTCTGTGTTTGAGTCAGCACTATGGCTGACAGCACAATAAAGAAAGCCTGCTAGTTACATAGATGTGGAATTCAGAGTCAGTATAATGCAAACAAACAGAGATTCTATATTACTAATATACAGTAAAATTGACTTTTTACATTTAGATTTAAAGTTCTGAAGATAAATCAGCACTGAGGGATGAGTCTTACACTGATTCTTTTGCATGATTGGCTTCTCCTAAAAAAAAAAAAAAAAAAGATTCCCTTCTTTTAAACCCCACACAAGATAACAATA